CATCTCTCAGGTAACGGCCGCTCCGGGTTCAGGCAGGGGCGCCAGTCCGCTTGTGTAAGATCAAAGCTGGATGTTGCTATGGAGACGTCTCTGAAGGCTCTCCCTGTATTAACTCTTATTTACATGTTACGCCCCGGCTTCGATGCTCCTCTCTATCTCAGCTGACGGTCACGTTGAACCGAGGGTCTTCAGACTAAAGGCTGAGATGTTCTCAGAGGAAAGCAGAGCAGCTCTTAGAATCCAGATCAAATCATAGAAGCTGCCTGAGGGGCTTTGATTCTGCTCCACATTCCCCACATCAGCTCTTAAAGGGACAGAACCGAGGAAGAGGAGGATATACGAGGAGGACCGAGACAGTCGGCGCTGCTGCACATTAAATCAGCGCCGCATTAATAGAGCAACGGCTACGGAGAGAAATTATTTCCAATATTCATGAAAGCTAAGAACACGTTCCAGAAAAGGAAATTTGTTTAAAAAATCAAACTTAGTTTAAAAAAAAAAAACGGTTTTGAATGTTTTTTCCAAAATTGTATTTCTGTAATAATTTTTTTATGAATTATACCATTTTCATCCCTTTTTAGAGGTTTTTGTGTCACCCTCTGCTCTTCAGAGGAGCAGAAGAGCAGATCTTAGAAAACCCCTAAAATTTGAAAAAATAAACTAAAAACATTGGTCGAAAATTTTTTATTAAAAGTTTTTTGAAGGTTTATTTCTTAAAAATATTTTCCTTAAATTTCCTTTTTTGAAACATGTTCTTCTTGCTTCTTCTAATATTGGGGTAAATTTCCCTCCATAGATGGGTGCTGCTTCGGTTTCCACCCACTTTGTTTCTTCTCTCAGGTAGAGGCTCAGAGGTGCGTTTCAGCCAGCTGACAAACAGTTTGCAGCCGCTTTAAAGGCTTTAAAACCCAGTTCACCTTGATGCCACTTACAGATCCTGTGCCGCTAAGGGGTGCAGGCTTTGACTAGGCCAGTGAGTCTGCTTTTCTGGGTAGGGATCATGATTCATAGATTGATCGGTTTAGATCCAGCTTCAGCTTAGATTAGACTCTGAAACGCTGGTTTCCAGAGGAGGTTAACGGTCCACTCTGCAGGGGGCCCAGATCACCATCCCTCCACCTCTGTGCTGATCCTCTCTTTGGTTCCCTCCATCGCGGTTCTGTCCCGTCTCCACGTCTCTCAGCCGGATGCAGCTCTGCTGAGCTCGGTTCCTCTGACGTTCCTCTCATCTACTTTAACGTCTACCAGCCGCCATCCAGCAGAGTGGGGGGGGGAGTCCCAAGCCGGTTCTGTTTGTTCTGTTGAATTTGAAACAAGATCTTAAAGTGGAACGCCGTTTTTTTTACATTGGGTCCTTGATTTTCCCGTTATTCCATCATGTTCTTCTCTCCTATTTGAGTTTAGCGTCTTTTGGAGCCGTTCTGAAGATATTCCGTTAGGTTATATCCAGTAACGTCTTCCTATGG